CAGGTAACAACTGGAAATGTGACTGTAGTGCTAAACCCTTTCGAGATTTCATTCTGCAGAAGCCACAGGTGGTTCCGCTACAGGTTGAAATGCTTGGGGAAGGTGAGGAGCCCCATACACTTGTCACAATATACAATAACATCACATGTGCCAGCCCACTCAGCGTTTTTGGACTTGATCTGCGAAACATCGGCAGTGAACATTTTCGGGACTGTTAAATATAAAAATATTAATTCTGCTACAGTACAGATTACTTTTTCTATTCTGCCATTGTAATTCAAATCCATGTCAGAGCTTCAATTCATTACTTTTATTTATCTCAAGAAATATCTTCTTTTGTGAAAAGATCTTAAAAAGATGCATGATAGGCTGCCATTCTTAATCCAAGCCATGTAAAAATAACAATGTTATTTGATGATCAATTGTGCTGATATATTCAGGTAAATATATATTTTGGAAATAAATTTAAATAAAGGCTACAAAACTGTTAGGTGGTAAAAAGGTGATATTTTAATAAATATATTTAGCAAAAAAAATCTACTCTAAGAAATAAAGAATGTGTAGAAGATGTTCTTTTAATATTTGAAAAAAATAACAACAACAACAGTTGTACAAACAAGTATCAAAAGTGACTTTGTAAAGTATTATGCCTTGATTTTTTTTAGTACATCCAGCTTCCATCAAAATCAAACAAAATTTGTTTGTTTTTGGTCACTATATAAACATGAAGAAGGACATTGTGCAAATGCTCAGTCTGATAAACCAAACCCAAATATGGATATATGTACATAATATCGATCCTTGCTCTAAGTCCAAAGACCTGCTGAGCAACATCTTCAGGTTACAATCAGTAGTCAATTTCATATTTGTAGACCACTTCTTCAGAACAGCAATGATCTAAAATGATCAATTACTTATTTAAATATAAATTAGTCATTCCAAATTGCAGTGTAACTTTACTTAAAGGGGGCATAACACATACAGTTTCACCCAATCTCATGTTAATCTTGAGTACCTATAGAGTAGTACTGCATCCTTCATATCTCCAAAAAGTATTTAGTTTGATCATATTTATAAAAGAAAGATACAGCTTTACGATTCTCTCCGGAAACAGCCGAGCTCCTGGAGGCGCGCCGTGGGCGGAGCTAAAGAGTGACGAGCACTTGGGCGCCAATGCCAACAAAACAGACATTTGATGCAGTTACACTTACCGTCTGCAGTTCATAGCTGGGACCGCTCCATCTTTCAGTATCAAACGATGTGCAAATCCAGCGTCGAACTGGGCCTTGTTTATAAAACTGCTCTCACTCTGGTCCATGCGTGCGCGGGCGCGTTCTTCCGGGAGAAATGCCCATATAAGGAGTTCCACCCTCGTCTACGTCATGAAAAAAACTCTCTGAAACTTGTACGAACCTGGAAGTACGATTTTTGGCACAGAAATACTCCGTCATATGTCCAAATTGTTTTTTGAAACTTTGTCCATGCTTAGCATGAGAATCCAACTCTTTAACAGTGTAAACAACTCTGAATGCATGAAACAGCATTCTACCCCCGTTAAGTCCCCCAAATTACCCCTATGTAACCCAAATAACCTACTACAGTGTTTCCAGTTGAATTATTTTAGAATGTTGCAGTTCTGAAGAATTCTTTTTTTCTTCTTCTAAAGGGTCATTCACTCCTGTGTCTTTCCACCACATTAGGCCCTACTTTTTAAATTTTGCTATGCCATAGCATGCATCCTAAATACCCGACATAGCAAATCACAGCTTGATTGCACATATCACAAATTATATTTATTTATTTTTGTCACACATCACATCTCATATTTCGCTCATGGCAGACAGCGTTGTTTCCTTCATATTTGTATACTTTATCAAAGGTTTATCAAAAGGGGTAGTATAGAGATCGGTCACAACAATCATGAGGAACAGTGTGTGTGTGTGTGTATGTATGTAATTTTCACGCAAACAATTATGTTTATTTCACTAAATCGTATGATGGATTTTCCTATTTTAAAAAAATCTTTAAAAAGAAAAAAAAACCGATATTTGTTTGTTTTAAATAATAATAATAATAATAATAATAATAATAATAAATCAACAGCAAGAACTCGATTAGCAAGTTTCGCGCCAAAACATCTACTTGACAGAAAGGATACAAACAAGCACGGTGTCAACAAAGCGGTGTCTGCAGCTCGTGCGGTCGCCATGACAACTACAGTTTTGCTCGTTGGCGTCTGAACGTCAAACCGCATTTAGAGTCAACGTGCAGCTGCTGTTTACTACAGTACATTGAGAGGGAAAATACGCACCAGCTAAATACATTCAGAAATGCAGAAGAATGTGCATCTAGACGACATTATTTCCAAGATACCATCCCTTGACTCTGACTTGTCATCAGTAAGTTCAAACTACTGTTCTCTGATGATACTCCTTCACAGATGTCTTTTTTTAATCGTTATATTAACAGTGTTTATAGTTGTAATGATTATTTTTGAGCAAGTCAGTGAGGTTCAGGTGAGTTATGATCTTAAATCTCACAAGCTTTGCAATACTGGTGGACTAACTAAAATAAACACACAGCTGAAGTTCACATTTCACTCTACAGTCAGACAATGAAGGAGAGATATCTGTCCTTCAGCGACCACCAGATATTCACCAAAAGGAAGCAACATGAACATGGAGAGTCCAAAATTTGAGGTGTGTGTGTGTGTGTGTGTGTGTGTGTGAGAGAGAGAGAGACAGAGGAAGAGAGAGAGAGAGAGAGAGAGAGAGAGTTTGCCATCTCAGATCACAATGTCTTTGCATGCAACGTTACTCAAATCTGTATCACAGCCATTCACTTTCTGGACTGAAAAAAGGTGACTCTTAATCCTCAGCTTCCTGTGGGTCACAACACAGAAGAATAACTGAATGAAAAAGTGCTGCATGAAACAGAATGCAATGTACCTTTGCATGAAAAAGCAAACAAGACTGATTGGATAGAGATCCAGTTCTGTCCTGTTTTATCACTGACAGTAAGTTAGGTTGTATTTAATAAGATTTTTACACTAGAGCTATTCAGTAAAGCCATGTAACAAATTATCTCAACAGCCCCTTGATGCCTGATATCTTGACCAAGTCCTTCAGACTCTACGGCAACAAAAACCTCTTGTCAAGCCAATTCAATGTGATACATGTGAAGGTTGGATTGTAGACACTGTTTTACTCATTCAGGCTGCATATATTTCAGATGAACATAAGAGGAAAACATTTTTGTTTTGTTGTTGTTGTTGTTACAAGCAATGACAGTGAAATGCATTAAAATGATTTAATAAAGCAGCTGGTTGCTTTTTGTAAAAAGAAAGTAAATGAGATGGAAATAAAGACAAATGTTTCATCTATGAAAACCCATAATAGGCCTAAAAGAATCCTCCCTCAGGTACAGTCATGTTATACTATATTTCTATTATGACAAATTACATTCAGATAACATTCAAAAGTTTTTGGGTTCAGTATTTCTTTCTTTCTTTCTTTCTTTCGAATGAAATGAATACTTTTGTTCAGCAAGGACCCATTAAACTGATCAAAAGTGACAGTAAAGACGTTTACAGTGTTACAAAATATTTATATTTTAAATAAATACTGTTCTTTTGCACTTTTTATTCATCTAAGAATCCTAAAAATTGTGTCACATATTTCACAAAAGTATTAAGCAGTGTTTCTTGAGCAGCAAATCAGTATATCAGAATGATTTCTGAAGGATCATGTGACACTGAAGACTGGAGTAATGATGCTGAAAATTCAGCTTCGCATCACAGGAATATATTAAATTTTAAAACATATTCAAATATAACAGTTAGTTCAAATTGTAATAATATTGTTTTACAATATTACTGTTTTTGCTCTATTTTTGATCAAATAAAAGCAGCCCTTTGGAGCATTATTTCAAAAACATTTTAAAAATCATAACCCGAACTTTTGAACAGTAGTGTATATTCTCATGTTTACAGATTCCTGTACTGCAGGTTAAATGTGTTTGTGATTTTTCCCAGATGTACTGGGAGACTGATGAATGAGACAGACTTTAAAGGGACCTCAGCACAATTACAACACAATCAAGACTCTCCTACCATATATACTGATTTGCGCAACATTGCATTTCAAACAAAACAATCGGTCATTAGCCAGAGTAACAGTGTCATAAGTCCTGCACACCCGGACAAGAAAATGAGCTCCACTAACAAGACGTCTAACACAAATGCAAGAGCAAATGGACAGAAAAGGTAAGATAACACATACATCTCTAATATCACATAAAACATCTATTCTAACATAAAATATTAATTAAAAAAAAGCACAAGTTTTAAATATATGCTGAGAATAATAATTAATAATAATAATTAATACATTACACTCAATACTCTGGGAAAATAAAATACATTTATATTCCAAATAATGAATGGCTGATAAAATGTACTCTCCTTTAAAAGCCATCACAACTTATAACCTCAGTTATATTGCGTTAATTTTTCATTTCTAGAGAATTTTCTGGGAAGAGTTTATTACTCCAAAACATAAGGTAAAAAAAAAGTATGTTAGAGATGAGCTGGAGAAATCCACAAGATTTTGCTGAGGATAAGCAGAAAAACTCTTCAGGGAAAAGTATAAAGGAAAATCAGCTTCATGATTCTGAAACTAGCTGCAGTGAACCTGGTGTTTAGCAGGTCAATGTCTGCTGTTCTACTGTGACCAACATAAACAGAGTACTCCATCTTCGCACATTCCAGCTGCTCAAAACAAGCAAAGGTACAAAGTATACTTACATTTTCTTCACTCACAGCAACATGCATAACCTAATGTAAAAATTGTATGGATACAGAGAGCAACACAGTCATAAAATCAGATGGTTCTTGCAAGCATTCAGACCTCAATATTCTGCTAACAACTTGGAGGAAGCTGCTGAGAGGACTGATATTCTTTATGAGCTTGTGAGTTATTGGCTGTTTATAAAATAAGATAAATTGAACACTGCTCTACTCACTTCCCTTAGGAAGCATCCTACCTTCCTTCTACCTCCAGATCTACAGATGAAGGAGTGTTTACTGCTGACTGTGCCTTTATCTAGTCCTGGGGTGGTGGCAGGATGAACGCAGAGAAAAACAGACAGTGGATTCAGTCTTGATCAAATCATATGTTTACAATGCACTCATAGCATGGTTCATGTCTTTGGTGTGTCTGTTAGTTTGCACATAAATACGGTAATCTTTGGCAGTGGAAAATATTTGACATTTTATACTACATTTCATCTTTTTGTTAACTGCTCTGTGATAGACTGATCCCAAAACCTGTGGGAGAAAAGGCAACAAGCTTGATGCCCCTTTCTGGGTGGCTGGGCTGCAGCAGTTTTATAAGGAAGATGGCTTGGCCTTGTACATCTGTGCCATGCCTCTTGAGGATGGTTAAACTGGCTGTAGAAATTCCAGGGTGGGTTCTACACATATCCATTGGCATTTATTAAATATTTAGCTAATTTAATAATGCTTTCAGCTACTAGTGAAAGTGGCTTTTGCAGATTTCCCACTAAAACGCACAGAAAATGTTGAAAAAAGAACAACCATTATCTAAATAAAATAGTCTTAATAGACTAATATTTACGTTTATATTTGAATATTTTTGCTCATAGATGAGGAAGGTGGATAGCGATGAGAGCATGTTTTACAGACGAGTTTGCAAGTTCTTTGCACAGACGCCATTGAGCCATTGTGGTATCCGCTTCCTCTATCCACCCCAAGAGCTGCTGACAAACTTTGCAGGTACATACTGTATCATCTCCCACCATAATTACACAACATGTATACAAATTGCATGGGTTAATACATATCCTGTCTTCTAGTCAGCAAGTCAGTTATGCATGAAGGGGAGCATTCTCATCAGCCAGTGCTTATCATGGCTTTCCGGGGTCCTCACGCTAACTCAGTGTGTCAGGAGAGCACAGGGCCATCAGACCCCCAGCTGGCAAGGCGGACAGATCCAACATCCATCAACGCCCTGTACCGTCACAGTCAAGACCAACCCCTGCTCTACTCACCCCATCTTGCCAGTCTTGTGCATCTGGGCCTCTGCTTGTGATTTGGTTGTAGAATAGCAAAAAACAGCCTGTCAACATTAGTATTCAAATGTATTGTAATACTTCCCAAATTGGGTCATCATTGTTTACTCACACTTGTTGTACTTGTACGATTGTCTTCAAATACGAAATACAAAGAAGTGTTCAGCTGCTTTTGTTCACATTATGAAAGTCAATGAGAGCCAAACAAGCATGAAATTAATCCATAAAATCCATATTAATCCATCGTCACTTTGTATGATAAACAGATTGAAATGTAAGCCTTTATTCACTCTCAAATCAAAAACAATCAATGGATTAAACCAAATATAGTTTTAAATTTAAAATTCATCATCAATCTTATTTTGTGTTTCATAGAATAAAAGTCATACAATTTGGAACAACACGAGTAAATGATGACTAAATTTCCATTTTTTGGTGAACTATTCCTTTGAGCTACCTGCTGACTCTGTTAACAGGATCCAGGACTCTGGTGACCGAGGAGTCAGTTGTTCCCATCTTCTGACCTCTTCTCCAGCAAGTTTGTGTGCCACAGTGAAAGGTGACGACTTTAGAAAAAAAGCTGTTATAAAAGTCCCTAGCATCTTATAAGTCAAACTTTCTACCCCTTTGCCCCCATACAGCGGATATATTTCTCCTTGTGTCTGCTGTGGTTGGACCACGCTGTTACAGCTATATATTATCTGCATGTGCAAAAACAGGCTTCAGTCAATTGGGACTTCAAAGAGTGCAGATCTCCAGGAAACAAGCTCAATCTCTGGGACTCACCGCAAAGCAGGTGAATAAACCCAACAGTGAGCCTGTACATGTACAGAAATATATTGAAACTGAGAGTGGGACACTACCATGACATTGATGCTGATTGCATTTGTCTGGAAATTCTGTCTGTCTCCGTTAGGTAGCAGTGTTCTGTCATGCTCCTACAGTGTTTCTGGCTGGAGAACAGGTTGAGCTGTCCTCTCATTGCCTAGTGCTGCTCATGAGCAGAGAAAGTGCAGTTAAACACTGCTCCAGACTGCCGATAGGTAGAGCATCTGGATAGCATACATCGTGCCAGCCACTTCCTGTATGTGAAGCTGTACTGAGGTGCTCCAGGCATTAAGTGTCCCGTGTCTTTGCCTGATGAAGGTCTGATGAATGAGCTTGCTGCACAAGGCCTTATTGGATCAATCCGTACAAGATTCACAGATGTTCTGGGTCCACATGTCTGCTTTCACACTGTTCCCTACTCTAAAAACCCCCACGTTCTGAGTAAATACATTACTTTGTATTTTCATGATTTGTCCACTTACCATCTGAGCATTTTTGACAAGTATATGATATGTCCTAACAGGTGGGTGCATGTGGACAGTGCCGGAGTGTAGCCACATGGTCTTGTCCAAACACGCATATCCTTCTTGTCCAGATGCAGAGCAGGTGGTGGTTGTCAAACTGACTGGTCAAAACATTGTCGAGAAAGAAATTGACTTTCTTCATAAGGTTCTCAAGGGAGATGCAGCAGGTACCTAAATCAGAGGTTTACAATCCTGCTCCCGGAGTGCAACCTTCCAGCAGCGTTTAGCTCTGAATTAACAAATCAAGCTCTTCAGGATTACTAGAAACAACCAGGCAGGTGTATTGGAGTTGAACTCTTCATGAAAGTGGCCCTCCAGGAACAGGATTGGAGCATTCCTGACCTAAAAACTATACCTTCACAAATATACCTGTATTCTTGGTTGAGTAAACCACTGTAAGTTACACAACCAAATCTACCTTGTCTTGTACAAACAGGACAAGAGGGATTTGAGCTGGTGGCACTAAAGTGGGAGCCCAAGCTGTCACAGCAGCAGGCACAAGAGTTGAGTCCATTTGAGATCGGAGAAAAAGTGTGGCAGAGTAGTGTGCAGAGCTTGACATCCACTCCTGCCCTGCATGGTCATGGCTCTGAGGAGGGTGAGGGCATTCATCACCCTACGTAGACTTTTACCACAAAATTACCCAGGAAACCTCCATGTATTGATTTGCCCCACACCTGAGACAGCTTTCAGACAGACCTGCCTCTTCTTCTCTGAGGCAGGATTGGTCCCTGGTGAGGATTTAAGTAGATAATACCAGTTTTGTAAGGATGATCCTTAAGTGGTTTGCTTAATCTAAAATCCCTTCGTCTTCAGATCACACTAGTCGTCCATTATTGAAATTCTTACTGCCTCATCACATTGACATTCCTGGTATGTACAGATCCAAGCCAAAGTATACCCCCAACCCACCCCCAGGCGCTCTGGGAACTGACTGTCAATCTCTGACAACCCTCAGGTCTCAGAAGTCAGTCGCTTTACAGTTATATGACAGTAGGTAAGTGATGTCTTCTCAGAACATGTTCTTCTCTGAGCTTTTTCATGGCCTTTTCTCTGAACTTCCTCCCTCTGTACTCTACAGGCCCAGAGCCACTTTTGACTCTAGCTCTGTTCAAGCCTGGAGCCTGGAGACACCGCTTTGGTAAAATTCTCACCGTAATCAAACAGAACGGATATACTCTAGTGGGCTTACGTGTGCTTCTGCTGGACTCAAGCGTGGCAAATGCACTGATACATCCACCAGAGCAACAGGTCACTCTGTCCTCCTCTTTCTAAGTATCTGAAGAAGAACAAGTAATCACATTCTAGAGTCTTGTGTAAAAAAAGGACATTTTAGCATACTTAAAAAAAATAAAAAAAAGTAATTATGGAAATAATACTTAAGTGCAAAGTGAATGTAATGTTTTCAGACACTTAATTCCATGTTAATTGCTATTACATGAAAATGTGTTATAGTACAAACAAGACAAATTAGCTTAATTTTAGACTGATTTTTGATCCACTTGAGTAGGACTTCATATGTGACCACAAAACCAGTCATAAGGGTCAATTTTTCGAAATTGAGATTTATACATCATCTGAAAGCTGAATAAATAAGCTTTCCATTGATGTATGGTTTGTTAAGATAGGACAATATTTGGTCGAGATACAACTATTTGAAAATCTGGAATCTGACGGTGCAAAAAAATCGAAATATTGAGAAAAACGCCTTTAAAGTTGTCCAAATGAAGTCCTTGGTGTGTGCTGCAGTGAAACTTCAGTTATGAGACATGAGAAGGTATTGTAACCTGTCGTTCCTTCCCCTAAATGTATGTTCTTACATTGGTGTTATAGTCAAACATGTCTTATTTCAGATACCCTGCCTGCATTCCGATCCTGAAGTTAGTTTGGACCGTGAACAGCTGCACACTCTTAGAACCGCTGACAAAGACGAGTTTTCTTCAGGATTCGGTCAAGGCAAGGCATGATTCTCCCACTTCCTCACCCCTCTATCAACACATCAGAAAACTGAGCCAATGACCCAAACATAAACCAAAACTTGTTGATGTTTTACTAGCTGCGAGCGACCTTTGTAATGAGGATGGGAACCGTTGTTATTTATTTGTGTTTTGGTGCCAGTAGGGCCTTTGGTCAGCAGTGCTCTTTGTCAGACCACCTGCCTGCTGATACCTTCCAACCTCCTGCAGCAGAATCAGCCTCCTCTGTACTCAGAGCTACTGCAGCAGTAGCTGCTTACAGGCTGCCACCTGGTGGCTGGAAGGCTCTGCACACCAGATGAGAAACAAAGGCAGCACATATCAGAGTTACTAAGGTCCTCTGCTGGTGAAGCACTTCTACGTGAGGGCCCCTTCCTTATCATTGCTTTGCAAGCAGACAGTGCCGTCACATGTTTCAATATCATTCTCGAGAGGTACAAGCCAAGCTGAAATGGAAGTAAAAGGTTACAGCTGTCTGTAGTACAAAGCATATGTAACTCTAATCTGTTTATCTTCTTCTGCAGCATTTGCAGGGAGAGACCGGACCTAAAGAGAGTTACAATGACAACAACAGACACAGACACAGAGTTACAACTTATTCACCCAAACTCTGAAAGAAAGGTGAGTCTACAATAACATTTATCTTACACTCTTAAAAAAATAATGGTTGCAAAATGGTGTTTTGCTGTGATGCCATAGAACCATTTTTGGATCCCTAAAGAACCCAAAGAAACAGTTCTTAGTGTACTTTTGTGTAATAAAAAGTTTCCATGAACCATCAATGCCAGTAAAGAACCTTTATTTGTGTACTTTACTTTTCTGTATCTGCAGGCAGTGAAATTGCTGTTACCTTTTCGATGATCTCTGTCTTGACAGTCATCACCGCGTAGCACCACCATAACCAGGAGTTATTCCATTATAGGTACCTAGTGCTAAATATTTAGCTTTTTATATTTTCACAGGAATGTGATTACAGACCTTACTGGCATGTTTTCACACTGAAATGAAAAGACTGTTTTAAAGGGGTCATATGATGTTGCTAAAAAGAACATTATTTTGTGTATTTGGTGTAATGAAATGTGTTTATGCGGTTTAAGGTTCAAAAAACACATTATTTTCCACATACTGTACATTATTGTTTCTCCTCTATGCCCCGCCTTTCTGAAACGCGTAGATTTTTAAAGCTCATCGTTCTGAAAAAGCGAGGTGTGCTGTGATTGGCCAGCTATCCAGTGCGTTGTGATTGGCAAGGAAAAATTGAAATCGCATCATATGACCCCTTTAATATTACTAGTGCCCATAAACACTTTAAGTAGCATATTAACTCAAGAACAGTCATATTGTATTTCTTAAATGGATTCTAACTTAACCAAAAAGACAAACTGTTCTTCGTCTACTCTGTAACTGATGGTTCATAAGTAGGGAAGGAAGGGAAAGAAGAAGACAAAACACTCGAGGCAGGTTAAAGATCAAAAATGATTTAATTCCCAAGATGACAAAAATAATTCCATGAATTCTGTAAACCATTGCATAACTGCTGTAGTGTAGACAAGTGTTAACAATTTTAAATGATACACTACAAGAGAAAGATTATGCATTATAAATAATACCATCTTAAGTAATTCTAGTGATGAAAAACCTCTCTGGCCATCAAAACGTAAAACAATTTCATAAAGAAGCCTCCATAACTTAAACACAGAACTCCCAGTAAAATGGTTTAAGGTCTTGTGTTGAAAACACATACACAAAGTATTATACTGACAGCAAATTGTATAGTATTTCAACACTAATTAGAATATAAGCTGTTCTATATATTGATGCATACTGTACCAAAATAAGGGATATGTTCCTTGCAATATAAATGATTTCCTCATTT